GGCTTTCTTCTCGGTGTCGCCTAGATCTTGCTCTGACACCCAAAGCTGCGCCTCGTGCGAACTTCAGGATCTCGGGAACACTCAGCTACAGAGAGATGGGGGGGCGCACCGAACGGCGGCAACTCCGCGCACTCTTCATAACACCCGCACAGCAGGGAAGCCTCAAGGCAGCCCTCAAAGCCGTCCAAAGATAGTGAGGATCCGCAGGGGAAAGAAACCGAGGCAGCAACTGCATCAACCACAGCAGCGACAACAGCAGCGACAACAGCACTATACGCCGCAACAGCAACAGCAACAGTACCGTGCACATCAACAGCTGCAGCAACAGTACCATATGCGGCAGTACCAGCGGCAACAGCGTAATGCGCAGCAGCACCAGCTGCAACAGTACCCTATGCTGCATCAGCGTCAACAGCAGCACCCGCGGCAGCAACAGCCATTGCCACCCCGTCTGCAAGCGCACCTGCACGATACCCAGGTAACTGAAGGCTTATCCGATCGAAATTTTTTCTTTTTTTTAGCTTTAAATTTCAGGATGGACCCCCCAAACAGATACCTAAGGGGGGGAAAAAACTTTTGTAAGGGTACAGAAGCCGCCTAGGAGGGGGCCAAATGCAGCCAATTACCCACATATACGAAAGAGGTGTATCGAACGAGAAGCTGTTAGTAATATTTAGGAGGAGCTACCCCGGCAGTAATTAACAAAACCTGCACGGGGTATAAAGCCACGACAAATCCAGGTATGCAGCCTCGCCCATTCTGCAGATGATTCTGAAAGCAGTACAAAAATATTACTATCGATTCAGCTCTTTGTATCGAGTTGAAATGGGACAAATCATTGCATTGGAGCGTCAAGAACGGGCTGAAAGCACGCGGCGTGTAGATGCCAGTGAAATCCCTACTGCTCCAGGCTCTCTATAACTGGTAGAAGAGAATGAGAATGCGGCTCATATTTGCTGCCAGCACCACTAGCAAGAGCTGCTGTAACAGCAGTGGCATGCCACAACCGCTGGGTTTGTATCGTTATGCTTTTGGCGAAGCATAAAAGGGAATCTTTTGCAGCTTGCTGCTTCTAATCCCTGAATATGTGAAGCCACACCAAATTAGAGGGTGACATACGACAGACGAAAACAAATTTTGTTATGGAGACCCTTGCGGGCACGTTACCGGGATAAACTCGCCTTCGGTGCTTCTGTGGTATCTTTCGCAGCACTAGGCTCTAGAGAGATCTAAATGCAGAGACAAGTTTCCTACAGTACATTGGCATCTGTGCCGTGCTTTTAGTCGCATAGAGAAATGCCTAAGATACGTCGATATCACTCTGAAGTTTCTTCAGCTCTCTATACATCTCTATCTATTTCTCCTTTCACTGCAGAATCTTATCCAGGAGTTCAACTTTTCTGGAAATCTCAGCGTCATGCTCTCCCGCTAGACTTTTCGCTTGTCTACCACCAATCGTTACTCACAACGGGTTGGTAACATGTCTGGTGTATACCCACGTGCTGTCGTTCAGATGCTGAACACTTTATGAAGTTCACGAAAATAAAGCTGCTGGTGTGGTTGCTAGCATTCAGCAATACATGTACAGACACATACAGACTCTCTCCTCATGCCAGCCAGCGGTCGGGCCTCCGGTGGGGGGGTTTGGCTGTACAGTTCAAATGAGAGTTGCCTCTCGTCTTTTATTGTCTTTCTCTATAAACCCTTTTAATTCTATAAAGATGTTTATATGGGAATAATAAACAGCCACATAATTTCCCCTATCCACCGAAACTCTGCCGCACGTGATGCCGAGGACCTCATCGCGCATGCTTCGCCTAGGCCACTGGCATGCATCAGCCCAGTCGCTGCATTAGAGTTGATTCTCTTGCTTATCCTCTCAATGTGTTGAGGAAAAATATATTTAAATAGAAAACAACAAAAAACAATGAACGGAAATGGCGGAAGAAGGCAGTAACCCAACCCCTCAGGTGCAGAGGGTGAGTGACGCCTTCTTAGGGAGCCGATACACAGCGGACTTCTTTGCAGCTTTACGTCCTCCTAAACTGCAGTTGAATGTTTCCAAGCATACATGGCAGCAGCAGCAGCAGCAGCAGCAACAGCAACAGCAGCAACAACAGCAGCAGCAACCCGCTGAACTTGCTGCGCCTGAGTTGTTCCGTAGTCGCCGTTGGCTGGGCAACAATGACCTCCGCTGGCAGCAGCAGCAAGTAACAGAGT